CAAATAAAATTATTATGTACATTTTTATGTAATAATAAATTTAAGATGTGCAATACTTTTGTCCATGTAGTGTATATATATATATATATATATTTTTAATTTTTTTAAAATTTTTTTTACTCCTAATTAGGCCATATGCCACTTATATTTATTGATTTCAAACTCTAAAATTGAATATACTTTAATATAGATATTATATGAATATAATAATATAGATATTATATGAATATAACATATATTGATAAAACTTATTAATGCTATATGTTATATCTATCAACAGCCAGTGCCAATGATCTTTAAATATAATTAAGAAAAACAAAAAATTGTTCAATTTTAGAAAAATATTTCTTGTTTATCTAAAATATTATAGCTAATCTTTTATCAAGATTGTTACCTCAACTTAACTTCTATTATCTTAAGGAATAAAAAATTTTTTATTTTTTTAAGAAGGTAAAAGAGAAAGATAAAAGAAAGAAAAAGTTTGTATTGATAAAATAAAAATCTATCTAAATCAATCATTAGTCTAATGAAAATCTTCTTTGATCTTGAAAAGAAAAAAAATCAACACAAGAGAGAAGAGAAAAGACTTCAAATTACTTTTATCAAGAGAATGCCTTGACACCTTACTCTTTTGCCATGTTTAATTGTATTATCAATTTTGATGTAGTATAATATGAAATATGTGAGGGGTATGTGTCTTGTTTACATTTCTTTTAAAGGCCAAAATAATGAAACCAGCCAAAAGTACTCAGGCAAGGGATGGCAATAAGGAAAGCAACAGTTAGCCCAAAATATTTCTTCTGAAATAATTATCAATATACTTAGCACTATTATAAATCAGTGTAATAAAGGGTTTCAAAGGGATCAGGTCACTTTTTCATTATCTTGTGTGAGTGATCAGAAGTCATTGGAGGACAGGAAAATGGATACTTTTTTTGAATGATGCACATAAGGAAAGTGTTAGTAATGGGATAAGGCAACGTAATGGGGAGAAGAAGCTATTGCATGAATCGAAGTCATCAGAAAGTATAGAAACCATCCTGCCTTTTACTTCACTGATGTCGCTAGAAGAATCAATTTCTGGAGAGCGGGGTTGCATAGTGATTACACCAGATAATTCATCTGAAGAGTCTCTGAATTTTCGGATTCAAAAACTGTGTAAATACTTCAGGACCAGCAACAGAACAAAGAAGTTCGATCACATATAAAGAAAGGAGTGGAAAATATCGTGAAGATGTATTTGATTTCACCGTGGATGAATCTGATAAAAGTCACATGACAAAATTTTCGCTTACGGGCCATGAGGAAAATTCAGATGCATTGAATAA